AGCTGTCATTTATTCAATATGTGTTTAACCTACTGGCTGTGTTAATGCGTGCAGCACAACATTTTGGCCTGGGTGTGTATTGTTTTGGGTAATTTTTGAATTTCAACCTCAGCTGCTATAATAGGTCTAAAATACATTGTACACAAAATACTCACAATCTACCCTTTTCCTCATACTCAAAACTATCTAAGGAAAGCAAACATAATTTTTTTGAATTAATAATATATTTATTAGACTGAGGCTAGCCCTGTCTCTTAAATAAACTGTTTTGCAAAATGTCCTTTTGTGTGATTTTTGCATCTTATTCAGATGCATTATACTTTGTATTAACAATTTTCATACCATGTGGACCAACTCGACTTGCTGTTGGTTGCAAGGGCTTAGGATTATTCCTTTCCCCCTCACTGTCTGAGCTCTGCATGCCGTCTTGTTGTCTCTCGCTCTCTCCCTCTTGCACCTTGTCTATGTGATGCTCTCCCTCTTCCGTCTCTTCTTCTCTGTTGTGTTCTCCTTCCTCCTCCTGTCCCTGTTCATCTTTGCCTTCTATCTCATCACTGACACTTTCCTGTTGCTGTTCTTCATCTCCTTCCTCCTCCTCATGTCCCTGGTCATTTACCTTGTCACTTCCCTGTTGCTCAGCCTCACTTTCTATCCTCTTTGGTGACAAAAAACTTGCAATGCCACGTTTCCTCTTCATTTCTATAAGATTCAAAGCCCATTTATTACGTTGTTTTCTTTTATATTACCAGTAATCATTATTAATAATGGTGTTCAAATTAAAATGCTGTTTGAGCAAATGCTTGTTGTTTTCCCACTTACTATGTGCTTCAAACTCTAGCTTGTGGCCCAATCTTTGCTTGCAATCCAAACAGATTCCTGAAATAAGATTCAAAGTTATTGTTGAAGAGCAGACTCGTTTAGCCTTGATCAGGTCGTAGGCTACATCTTGCTAAATGATTGATAATATAAAAATATTTCATGCATGACATTTTTTTAAACAAAAACCTAGCTAACGTTCCACGCACACTGTACAGTAAGTAAAGAGTTACTGATAATAACGTTACTCAACCGGATTTGTATTGTTTCAATATCAGCATTAACGTTATGATTCACATGGACATATCTAACTTCTCTCTTTTCTGTAACTGGAAAACATTAGCTTTGTTCTACACTTATTTCACAGGAGACGTAGTTGATCAGTCTTACCTCATTCCTTCCGTCTACTTCACCAAATGCTTCTCTATTTGTTCTGTCAAAATTAAATCGCCGCCAATCACATTTCAGCTCGCGCCAGGGAGGGGGGTAACTGGCTCGCGTCTTGTGGTGCATTCACTTGCACTCGGACATTAGAGATTTTTTCTCATAAATGTCCGATGAGCCACAACTTTTATTTCAAAACAAAGCTGCCAACTGGGGTGGCAGCTGGGGTGGCAAGGATGTGTTTTAGGGTGGCAGCTGCCACCCCATGCCACCCCGGTAGATCCGCCCCTGCCTTGATGTTATGTTGTTTCAGTGCAGTTTTCAGAATTAGTCTTTGTCTGTTATAATCCGGGCAGCTAAATGATGTCATTTTTCTCCCCAATTTTCGGCGCCCCCCGATGGGTTAGCATTCGACTATACTGCCTATGCCAAGGGCCGGCCCTGGTGAAAACAATATGACATCAACAAAAAATAAGACAGACAACTACAGATAGCACCACACATGATGGTTACTTGTTATTATTTAGGGCTGCCTGTATGGATCAGGTCTTTGCCAAAGCGAGCCCTTTTACTATAATAATAATATATTATGTATTATATCAACCGTATTGGTACAATGAGCGACATCTAGTGACGGATTTTGGAACATTGATTTGATTTTTCTCATGGCAGTTAGACTCTAGAGACAAACCAGGGGACTTTATTTTTATTTTTAATCTGTGTCTGTCCATTTGGTGTAGTGTTTGATCCAATATTACATTTGGTTTATATATTAGTCACTTTCTAATGAAATGCCAGGTTTTAGGCCTTAATTTGAACATTCAATCCTGAAAATAAAAAATCAACCAGATTAATGTTTCTTTAATCCTGACCTGACTAGAGGTAAGTAAATCTGTATAGGAAGACGACTTAAGGGATAGAGGAGAAAAGGTTATGGTATAATTACAGAGCCTGTCAATTTATAAATTGAGGAAATCAATGTTAGTCTGTTAACCAAAGTGCAGCCATCTATCTATCAACTATCTATTATTAAAGATCAGAGGAAAAGAACAGAACGAGAGGGGTAAATCCGGAATAAAAATAAAGAAGCAAAGAGATTGTAGAGCAGTGAGAAGGAAAAAAGCTTGGTGTGTCAATTCATTACATTGCCAGTATTTTTCGTTGTTGTGAAAAAAAGTGTGTGGGGGGTGCAGGGGTACAGTGCTATTTTTTATAAGTGGGGGGTGGACCGAACATCCTTTAGGGGGGTCGTCGCCTCCTCTCGGGGGGTCCGGGGGCATGCTCCCGGGATTTTTTAAATATTGAAGTTGAAAGCATCAATCTGGTGCACTTTGAGAGCAACATTAACCCTACCTTAATAACACCTTAAAGCGGACAAAAGGCACTGGAGAACACTCATTAACACCCTTTAATGAAGCAAACTAATGCCTTAACTCACTCAAATAGTCATTTACTTATTAAGGTGTAACGAATGTGCGTAGAGTTTTAAAGGATGCGGATAGTCTCACCTTGATTCTGGCGCATTGCTTATCGTTTTATAGATCTATTCTCATCCACCATCTTTGTTTGTGACGTAAAGAGTGTAAGAGTCACGTTTCTGAATCGGACACTTGGATGCAGTCACAGCCAATCGGAGTCTGATTCAGAGGGTTGCCTGTCAGTTCTGTTGTTATGTGTACTGAAACGAGAGCCGGTATAATTCCACGTGTGAAAACAAAATAAAAATTGGAATACGTTATTTTAGTGTCTTAAAAGTAGACTGAGTTTGAAGGGTTAACGTTACATCTTAGGATCATTTTGAGTCATGTTCTGTATACATCCTAACATATAAGGGTATACTTAGTGTGGTTACTCCATGTTTACTAGCTATAACATTAACGTTACATCACTCTTTTTCACTTCTTACTCAGTCAGCCAGAGTGCAGATATCACCATTAGATTCACAAACCTGAAACATCATCCATTTCTTCACTGATGGTGATGACATTGTTGTCAGCTGCTGCTGCTGCAGCTTGTGGCGCCTGCTTCGATGACAATAACTTTCTAATATCCATAACTGTATAGGCTATTAGCTTAAAACTCGTCAGGCACTAGGAAGGATCACTTCTTCTTCAGGGCAGGCTACGCAGTACGCAGGCTAATGTCCCACAGTGGCTGCCTCTCTGGTGGACTCCGGTACTGGACATTACTCCCGAGACGTTATAAAAAATGTTTTTAAGTGAAACATCCGGGGCTTGAGCCCAAGTAGCCACCCCCTAGCGCCGCCACTGTACCTCAACCTCATGATAGCCTCATATGTTTTAACTTAGGATCATACTGTGTTTAGTCTAGAAAAAGGTAAATGTGTGCATTTTATTATAAAGTTGTGTATATTCCGTGTGGACAGGAGACTTTTTTGAAATCGACTTCGGTTCTAAATCGGTTTCGTCTCCGTGTGGACGGGGCCTTAGTGTCCTCATTGAGTGTTGTTAGAGGGAAGGTGATGCAACACACTGGTAACATGCCCCTGTCCCAGCTTTTTTGGAACATAAAACATTTGTGAATATTTGCCAAAAAAACTAAAGTTGATCAGTTTGAACATTACATAATTGTCTTTGTACTTCATTGGAATTGGGGTTGGTAAGCCTGTTTTAAATGTTATATTTGTATGCAAGTTGGTCTCCAAGAAGGAGGGACAAGAGAAAATTGCCATTTTAGTGGGGGGCTCGAGAACGCTTTTATTTTGTCTAAGGACAAGCATATTTAACACACCAACAGTGCTCATCAGACTGTGAACAGCACGGTGCTGGCGGTTTCAGTTGGAGCCGTCTGCCTCCTGCTGGTGGCCCTCATCGTTTACACTAGGATGCACAGCTCCCCCAGCAGCTCCAACACAGCTCCACCAGGACCACTCTGCAGTGGGCTTCACTAAACCAATGAGCGCGATTTTTTGATAAATATTAGTATATTACACAATACAAGTTCCCTGAAATACTTCTAAGAAAAGGAGAAATGCAGAAAATTGCATCTTGTAATCTTTTTAATAAACCTTATTGCTTCCGTTTATCTTGGAATAAGAAGATTAACAGAACAAAATAATATATTCTGATCATATAAATGGTATGCACTCATAACATGATATAGCCTTTCACACTGCTTCAGGCTTTGTATACCATGTATATTAAGATAGGTGGTAATGGTACTATAGCAGTGTTAGGTATTGTAGCTCATATTCAGTTTTTTGAACACATATCCCTTAAGGTTCTGTTTTTTGCTGTATACAGTTATTTATGGGTATTGTGTGTGTTTCCTACAAACCTTTCAGAAGACCTCACAATACTGATGAATAAAGCAACAGTACTGGTATATTTTAATAAAGTGAATTATTTGGTTAACTCCTGGAAGCTCCACTCTCCAGTACTTTAGGTCAACATCGAGACCAGTTTATTTTCTGTTCCAAGGTATTTATATTACTTATTCAATCGATGTTTGTTTTGATGTGTTGATACAGCTTCATACTAACAGTTTGGACAGTGCTAACATGTCATTTAGTTTAAAAGCATTCACTGCAGAGGGATTCCTTTAACCTTTCAAACTATTTCCCAATATGTTTAGCTATGAAAGCTATGAGGCAGATTTACAAAATGTGAAGCACTACAAAGGTCAGGGACTGATCTGATTTAAAAACATTTTTGGCTCTGTTAGTAGAAATCCAGTCAACTACTAAGAGCAAAAATAATAAAGTTTGCTTACTGATTGATGTACTAGCCTTGCTATCAATAACCGTTTCAATCGATAAGCCAATTACATCATACACTAAGAATGAAAAACAAAAAGTTTTTATTAACAGTTTAGAAAGACAACATTGTTTGCATCTTCCATTCCTGACTGTTTTCTACAGTTCTCCCCTTCAAATAATCCACAGTGCAACAAACAGACGCACCCCCAACCCCACCCCCCCCAAACGTTCCAGCGGAAAACAGAGACAACATCTGCACGACAGGGCATGTCCCTAAAGATACAAATGATCCCCCCCCACCCTCTAAATTGTTTAGCAGCTTATGAAATGTTAAAGATGGAGTGCCCACTGTGCCTGGCACACAATCAAAGTTTCAGTTGGATCAGAAAGAACTCAGCCCACATACAGGAGCAGCAGGGGGGGGGGGGGGGGTGCAACAAGTGCTGCCTGATGGACCCAAACGGTCTGAACCTTGCACATTAAAGGAGAGGTTCTCATGAATGTATTCAGCCACTAATTGGGAAAATAACAAGGTCTGAATGAGCTGCAGGGGCAGTAGATCTGCCACCATCAGTAGTTCTGCTTTTAAACACGCTGGTCCACCATATGTTAATATGCATGTTATACCTAGTTTACATGGTCATAGAATTGAGTCTCTTAATTGACAGCCACTCTTTAGCCCAGTTGGTAAATATATTATGACCTCCTATATTATACAATTAAACCATGAATATTTATGACAGATTCTTTAACCAAATGAAAATTCAACTGACTGTGCTACCACATAGTTTTAAATATACTGTAAGTGATTACAGTATAAATGGTACAAATACATCTAACTTATTTGGCCAAATACATTCTGGTTTGGAGAAAAAACATAAATTCTAAAGGACTATTAAGCAGCAGCTTAATAGTCAGTGATCACCACCACTCGGCCATGGAAAGAGCAGCTGCAGCTTTTAGACCAATACTAACCTCCCAGCTACAGAAACAGAATCAGTGCAGAGGACAAAGTAGGACAGGAAGTGTCCATTGAGGACAGACCAGAGAATACACACACTCGGCCTGTCAAATGTCCGGATGGTCTCAACACGGCCTCATCTCCTCTCCATCAGCAGTTTGCTGGACGTGAGGTGGTGCTTTGGAGCTTCATCTGGGCTTTATTTTGGTTGTGCTGCTTCTTGGTGTTTGAGTGACAGTAGCTTATAGAATCCATGAGACGGAGGAGATGAGAGTACAGAAGAAGAAGCTGAGTGGTCTCCAATCCTTATCTTCCAGCGGTTCAATAAAGAAGGACAAAATTAAACAAAAAACAAACAGAGTGAGAAGGAACGCGAACATTTATACACTATCAATAAATAAAGTGATTTTTCCCAGTTCCAGCTGTTATAATTCATCCTCTATGTGCTTCTCAGGCTGGGTCTTCTCTGTTGCTCCTGGAAATGAGAAGAGAGAGGGAAACATGAATACTGTGTTGGATTACATCAACTCACTTCAAGTGCTGGGTAACTCCAGCACATGTTTACAGATTCAATAAGACACACACAAAGCTGTTGCCATGGTGAAGCCTGTTAGCAGAGACATTTGCAGGCCTTGGTTGCAAGGTGAGGGAAAATCCAGAGCTGGTTTGTGGTCTGACTCTGACCTGGTAAAACAACATCTGATCATGTCATCGAGGCATTCTCATCATTATTGAAATGCACCACATCAAACGATTTACATGTTCTACTACAAGCAATCACATGCCACACCCGTCAGCTTTGTCTACATCACTTTCATTTACAACAAGGAGCAGTCTGCTGCGAGTCAGAAACAGAATGACGGGATAGCTTGTTCTAATGGAAAGCAAATGCTCCTTTGGATGGGAAGAGAATGTGATTCAACCCTTTAATGTAATAAATGACATCACATTGTTCTGCAGGTTTTATTACTATTTAACAGCTGGAACAACAGCAACACAAACTAGCATTGAAAACACTTTGGTTTTTGTTGTTATGGATCATTGTCTTAAAAGGGACCAAACTCCCAATGTGTTACTACCACTGTAAGTTGTTGGAGTATTACATATTTATGTCCATTCATAAATCAACCATTTCATGTCAAAACGACGAGTGTTGTTGTACAGATCAACCTATGTACGAATGAAATAAATGATTGTTGAACTACAGTGCGTCTTCCTCCGGTTCACTCAGCTGAAGCCACTACAGACATGTGAGGAGTGGGTTAGAGTTAAGGTGAGGCTAGAGTCAGAGTTCCGTCTCTTTTTACATGTCTAAATCTCTGTGGCAAGCCAAAGGCGTCCTCTACCTTTAGGTGCTTCTCCCAGAGATATCCTCTAAAAGGGCTACATAGTGTCAGTTGAGGGAAGACATTCTAAAAGGAGCCGCATGTTACATTAATAGTTGACTGTACTATTCTGATTCACTCATCAGAAGGATGCTTACTTGCTCATGAAATGCTTCAAAAACGTTGAAGTACCACACTGCTGGTACTGCAGCGAATAAAACACCTATAACAAATGTGTAGTCTTTTGGTATATATCACAGGTATTATTCAACCAATACAAATCATTAACTTTGATTTGATATTCATGAATCCTTCATTATGGGACAGTGGCAGATCTACAGTTCTGGAATTAAGCGTTTGAATGTTTGAGTAGGAGATGTAATAGTTGAGAAAGTGCAGTAGAAGAGTCCCTATCATGAGAATGAAGGAGAGCCTTCTGAAGAAAGCCCGGCTGAACACAGCAGCTTTATAACAATAATGCGATCCGTTACAACAGTCCAGCAGAACTCTCATGCTCCGTTAGTGTCGGTGAGGAGTTGAGTGGTGAGGAGTTGACTAAAGCTCTCCGGCATCATCAGCTACAGGAATGGCAGACCGACCTGTGGTTGTTGATTCTTCTGTGGGCTGTGATTGGCTGTCCGAGTCTGTGTTTGTAGCGCTCTCCTCAGTGGGCGGGACTTCCCCTGGCTGTACCTCCTCTGGGCTTTCTGTATTTAAATTGAGCATTTTGAGAAAGACAACAAAAATAAATAGTTTTTCTAACTAACAGTTGTAATTATTTTTGGATAATACACGATTGACCCACCACTCTTTGAGTCTGCGCTCTCCTCTGTGGGGGGGATGACCTTCTCCTTGGTGGTGTTGTTGGCCTTGCTGCTTTTATCAGAGCTTGTGCTGTTCTTGGCTTTGGCTTTGGGCTTGGCAAACTTGGCCTTGTTGAGCAGGTAGTTGAGCTCCCGCTCCAGCAGGGACACTTTGGACTCGATGTCTTTTGACAAGAGGACGGGCCGTTCCTTTGGAGAGCGCTTCTCCTGCTCGGCTTCCGTCTCATTTTTCCACGTCTGCAGAAAACGTTACACCTGTCAATTTACTCGATACAAAGAGAACTACTTAACTAACTATGAAAAAAATGTATAATATGTGCATTATGGGAAATGTAGCATATCAGGGATGCAAACTCATCAGGTATGGAACAGGTGACAAGGACCCGAGCCCCCCGACCCCACGGAATATCGGCTTTAAAATGAGGAATAGAGGATGTTAGCAGTCAGAACAACTAAAGCAGCAGTTAGTAATAACAGAAACGCCAAAGAGTCACATCTAATAGAAATATATAAAAGCATTTATTTTAATTGTGCAGTCAGTTTATCATTTTGGCAGCACTGTTGAGCATTTTGAAAATCTATTTTCATGCCTCTGTGCAAGGCTTAGTCTTTCTATCTGTATAGCCACTGGTGTTAAGTAACTAAGTTCATCAACTCAAGTACTATACTTGGGTACAATGTTGAGATACTTGTACTTTATTTAAGTATTTCAATGTTTTGCTACTTTGTTCTTCTTCTCCTCTACAGTTCAGAGGTACATGGTGTACTTCTCCTCCACTACATGTATTTAATCCCTTTAGTTACTTCACAGATCTGGATGAATGATGTGAAATATAATCAAGTGTTAAATCAGACTTTAGTTCCACCTGGAGTAAATCCACAAGCTACCCTGCAGTATACAAAGCCATTCAAACTAGCTGCACCTTTACCAGCTTTGAGAACACTTTCATGATCAATCATTATAAAACATATCATATATATTATTCTGAAATGGACCAATCTGCACAATGACTACTTTTACTGTCGCTACTTTCACTATATTTTGATGAGAATACTTTTCTACTTTTATTTGAGGAACATTTTGATTGCAGGATTGTTCCTACACTCTGGTACTTCTACTTTGACTCAAACCTGAGTACTTGTACTTTTACTCAAGTACAAGATTTGAGTATTTATACTTTTACTCAAGTACAAGATATGAGTACTTCTACTTTTACTCAAGCACAAGATCTGAGTGCTTCTACTTTTACTCAAGTACAATATCTATACTTATATCACCTCTGTTTATAGCCTATGAAAAAAACTATTCGAAAACGAAGGTTAAAGCTAACGTTAGCAGATAGTGACAATGTATGCTAGCTAGCTAGCTAGCTAGCCAGCTCAACGATAATATTGCGACAGAAAAACGTTTCAGTTCACATCACGCTCTGCCGCTCCGACAGGGAGCTCTGCTCTGAACACCTGAACGGCCCGTTCTAACAGCTGTTCACCAGCGGTCCAGTCTGTGCCACAGTGACTCCGGACCACAGTTAATATTAACGAACGCACCTGTAGGTAATGTAGCTGCTGAAGCTAGACCATCATCGCGGCCGCAGATTACTCCGGGTCCCAGACCCCCCCCCATACCCCAAAAATATTTTTATTGCAGATCTACATGAATCACACACACGACCTATTTTGGATTCAAAACGGCGAATTTCGCCGAAAGGTGACAACTTTGCATCCCTGAATATGCCCCATACTAGAAAATACAAGTCTTGTACCGACACAGCTTTGACTTTTTTCTATTCCACTTTGAGCTAAATAAATGAGGAGGACGACCATCCTCCCAAGTGTGATGAAAACATTTATACATTGCCCACATACCATTGTTTCGTTGATCACTTTTTCTAACAAATTCAGCTCAACTTCAGTGAAGATCTGGTCATCCTCTGGAATCAGTTTGGCACTCCTTTGAAGAAAACAAAACAAATGTGGTCAATAACAAAGTCCCTCGCCTCTACGAAGTCCTAACATCTCCAGCAGCCTCCTCCACTCACCTCAGGAAGAAGCTGGAGGTGTTGAGTCTGCTGTTCAGGGCGGCCAGGCGCTCGGGCCATCTGCGGCGCTCCTCAACCCTGAAGAACATGTCCTTACACAGGCTCCTCAGCTGGGACAGTTGCTCCCTCAGCTGCTTGTTGGAGGCAGTGTAGCCCTCCTCATCCATCCACTCAGACGCCTCGCTCAGCTTGCTGGAGATCTGCTCCTTCTCCTCCTCCGTCACCACCAGCTGGTAATCCTCCTGGTACAGCTTGTCCTGGAGGAACAATGAGTGTTTGTGGGGGAGGCCCAGGTGATGTTGTGCCATGTGGTTGTTCTTAAGATTAAAGGATTTTAAATCTAGGATTTCTGTCGAATAGCTACACTGGTGACTCAAATTTCTTGAAAACCAAATTGGATAGGAAATAAGGCTGACGATAAAACTATGGTTAAGCATTAGTTACTTACCTGTGTCTCAAAGATAAAAGCTTCTAGACTGTTGAGGGACTTCTCCCTCTCCTGTTTGGCCAGGTCTCTGTCTGTCAGATCCTGCAACCTGTGAACATACAAAGACTCATTTCAGCCAACTAACTGAGAACCGAGAGAACACGAGAAAGAAGAAAAAGAAAGTTGCTGCTTTACTTCTTCTTAGAGGAGGCTACATCCTCTGCAGTAGGGTCAAGGATGTCGTTGGTGATGAGTTCCGCTGCGACGTCTTCAGAGATCTTGCTCTTTTTCTGAGGTTTTGCCTTCCTCTCAGCTTCCTTCTCTGCCTCCGTGTTCTCAGCTTCCTTCTCTGCCTCCGTGTTCTCACCTTCCTTCTCTGCCTCCGTGTTCTCAGCTTTCTCTCCATCCTTTTCCTCCTTTACCAGCAAACATTTGTTGTTTTTTTAAAATACAAAGACTTTATAGGCCACTCTTTTTTGGATAAAGTTAATTTCTCATTTACTAATCAATATTTCAAACTAAATGTTCCTCAGGGCTGTCAGAGGTCTTACCGGAGCATCAGTCTGGCTGCTCGCCTCCTCCTGACCTTTCTCTTCAGTGGAACTCTTCTCTGAGTTGTCCTGCTTCTCCTCTGCCTCGTCCTCCTTGCCCTCCTTGTCCTCCTTGTCCTCCTTGTCCTCCTTGTCCTCCTTGCCCTCCTTGTCAGACTCTGGAGGCACTTCCTCCTCGTCCCGAACAAGAGAAATCAGGAAACAATGTGAGCTACCACCTCAGCATACTGTATTTGATTAACAAACATATCAACTTTGTCATGATTTGAATTACCTGGACAGGTTCTGTCACATTTGCGGCAGGTTCTGAGGATCCTCCTCCAAACAAGGTGGAAATAGTGTTTCCCAGTTCTGAAAACGAGTTGGCTCAGTTAGTTATATTAAGTCCCATAAACTAAAGTACAGGCTGTAAAATTGACAACTTTAAAAAAAAGTATTTTAGTATTAGCAATCAACAAGCCAAAAACATTTTCAAGTTTCATCAGCGCTGACCAAAGAAGGAGGCAATGGAAGCTACAGCATCGACCCATGTCTTCCTTGTTCAGAGATAACCACGAAGTGCTTACTAACAGCGTCTCGGTCTCATTGAGAGGCCGTAACCCTGTCATCTTCATAACACTGAATACTTTGGCTCAGGCTCAAACATACCTCACGAGAACACTCAATGTATTCCTTAATACAACCCTGTAGTGGTTTAATCAAAAGGCACAAATCACTTTTAATGTACCCCGCCCCCCGGCTACAAAGCTAAATACCACACAGATGGCAGAAAGAATTTCAAGGTCACCAAAGTACCGCCATAACGCTCAGAACCTACTAGTTAATGTTGATTCCTCCTCTTTCTCCTCCACAATAGTTTCAAACACAGACTCCACCTATGGATGACAAAAATACAACAATCATTTCACTGAAACAAATCAAATATACTTTTGGTTTCTATTCTGCGATTATCAAGTACATCAATCAAACAAAACAATAGTTGATTTGAAATGTATCCCTCTATAATTGAGCTACAGCCATGATATTCTGCTGTGTGCAGTATGAGGAGTGGCTCTTCATCGTCCAGCACACTGTACATGTATTGTTATTTGGAAGTCAGACATCACAGGAGGTAGAACATGTGTCCTGCTCACAGTGAGCAGCTGCTGTTTGGATGTTCAGAAGAGCGAGACTGACCCGGTCCAGCAGCAGCACCCCGCTCTCATCCATGTTGAAATGGGCTTTGATGCCTTTGGACTCGGCGTCTGCATTCTTCTGGAAGCTGTTGCCTACTCCAGACAGCTTGACCGTGGTCAGGTTCAGAGAGCCAAACACGCTGCGAAACACCAGCAAAACATTCAAACCCTGAAGGCATCATACATCTGAGCTTCTTTGAATGCTTTTAAGTACAGTGAGGTTCCACAACACGACGACATGATGTACATTTTGGTTCCGTCTATCTGCACTGCTGAAGTGATCACATGTCTGTGTGGAAGAGAACATCATCACAGAGCTCTAAAGCACTCAGCCAACTAACCTGAGGTCTTCCTGACTCAGGTAGCTCAGGTCGCCGTAGTTGATGTAGAAAGCAAAGTCATCGCTGTAGCGGTTGAATGTGATGACCTTGCGCTGGGGGTAGGGCGCCATCCTCTGGAAGAGGATACGTTTGTTGTGTTTAAGGGTCTTGATACCCTCCTCCTCTGACTCACGGGTGAACTCCACCTGATGGTACCAAATACATGTGGTTAGTGTTTCCATGGATTGTATTAGGATTTTAATATCACATCCTATTTGGATTTTAGTCCTGTACTAAAAGAACAGGCAACAGGGTGAAAAACGTGCTGAAAAACACCGTCGTTACAGGAGTTCAAACACATGCCCACCAGTTACCAAACAAGGATTCATATTTTTCATCATCAGCAAAGCCACAGGACAGGACGAACGAGGCAGTGAACGAGCTGACCTGGATGGGGAAGACGGCTGCGTCCCGGACCAGGAAGGGTTTGACCTTGAAGGCCTTGCTGAGGGCAGCAGCCTGGTACACCGCTCCCATGGCTGCTGCTTCGTCTGCGTTGATGTTCTTCGCCAGATCCTCTCTGCACGGCAGAATACACAAACCACAGCTTCTCAATCCGACCAAAGTTAAACTCAACTCTCTCTAACAATCAGAATCAGGATGATTTCCAAGATTTGGTGGAAATGTGAAGCAAGTTGTGGAAAATCAATCATCAATCATGCTCACTTTGAAAGTGGAAGTGATTGAATGGGAGTGGACAGTACTCACTTCCCCACAGCTTTGAGCAGCACTTCCTGAACCTTGGGGACGCGGGTGGCGCCGCCTACTAAAATCACCTGCTCAATGTCCTCCTGTTGAAAGAAATATAAAAACTCACTCAACATCTCACAACAACATACTCACTGCTCAATATTTACCATCAAATAAAAAAGAACATCAGTCCACACCTTAAGATGGTAAGAGACCTTAATGTCAAAATGAGTTCTGCTTTTGACATATGCCCCTTTCACACCAACCCGGTTCCAGGGCCGGTTTTTCCTGTTCACACCCAGGGCCGCCTTAATGCACGGGCTGAAGCCCAGGGGCCTACAGAGATTGGGGGCCTATATCATGAGCCAATTAACCCTTTGGAGTCGACCGTCACGCCGGCGTGATCAGATCACATGACCTGTTCAAGCCGGTGCCGCATAAAAACAACAGTCCGGACAACATTGCCGTGTGTTTCTGTCGAAAGTACTGGCTTGAAACTATATCCCAGTCTTTGTTTCATGCAAAAAGACCCAGTAAACACGGAGATACGATGATATAAAGTTAATACATTTCAAAAGTATGAAAAATGGAAGCACATATTTGAATATCTTCGCCGTATTTGATCATTTTACGAAACGGAAAATACTGGAAACTGTACATCCTGCTCAACAGGATGTATATGTGTATTTCTGTCGAAAGTACTGGCTTGAAACTATATGCCAGTCTTTGTTTCATGCAAAAAGACCCAGTAAACACGGACATACGATGATATAAAGTTAATACTACTATTTCAAAAGTATGAATAATGGAAGCACATATTTTAATATCTTCGCCGTATTTGATCATTTTACGAAACGGAAAAGACTGGAAACTGTAGATCCTGCTCAACAGGATGTATTTACCAGGGAGGGGGTGAGGTAATCAGGTAAACGGAGTGATACGAAACGAGACGAAGAGAGACGAAGAGGGACGGCGGGAACCGAAGAGAGACGGCGGGAAATGGAGAGAGACGAAGATATACGAAGACAGGCGGCGGGAGACGGCGGGAGACTGCGATTGAAGTAAAGTGACAGACAAACATTGAGAATTTAGATATAGTTAGATAGATTTAGAGTTTTGAAGATTCAACTATGATGAAGAGAACTCTGAACGTGAGTCAAGCTTTAAGCTTGTTTTTTGACATGGAGGAGGAGGAACCTGTGATGTTGCCCTCTGTGTCGTATATATATATATATATATATATATATTTGTATTATATTTATAATAACACTTTTGCCTTATCAGAATGAAATGACATGTACATTATTTAAGCTTTTACATGTTTTGTTGTGCCTACTGTGTCACTGTTGACAAAACTTGAGAAATGAGGGAAAAAAGCCTATGGATACACCGGTTATTCGTTCATAACATTTGTATATAGGTTCATGCTACCTAAATCAAACTTTCACATTATCATAGTGACATCCCATGTATATATTTCCAGCTTTTAAATGGTTTCGTTGTGTCTGTTTGCGTTACATATATGAAAAATAATATCATTTCCAAAATCAGTTTTTACATGTTTTTGTGATTTTGGGTCCAAAATGTTCATATAGTATCTCAAAATGACAGAAATAACTATCAGGTTATATAGGTGAGGTTGTCCTTAAAAAAAAGATACCAAACATTGACATGCCAAACATTTCTTAATGGGGTTTAGTAAGACAAATCAAAAGTATGCGAAAACGGCCAAATTAGCCCTGGACTCCAAAGGGTGAAAGAAAAAATCTTTTTTTTTCTTTTTTCGGGTGTTTTATTTTTTATTTTAAATAAACAAAGTCTTGGTTTCAGAATATTAAACTTGTTTCGGCAAATTCAGATGATAAATACAACTTTGAAGCTTGTAACGGCATAATTACAAGCGGAGAACGGAGTAACTTAAAGTCACAGCAGGCATACAACAGCGGTGGTTTCTCCTGAGGGTTTCCTCCGGACACACACACACACACACACACACACAACCCACACACACATCACACACACACACACACACACCACACACACACACACACCACACAACCACACACTACACACACCACACACACACACACACACCACACACACACACAACACACTACACACACACACACACACACACACACACACACACCACACACACCACACACAATACACAACACACAACACACACACAACACACAACACACAATACACAACACACAACACACAACACACACACCCACCACACACACACACACACACACACACACACACACACACACACACACACACACACACACACACACACACACACACACACACACACACACACACACACACACACACACAACACACACACACACACACACACACACACACACACACAATCCAAATCAAAATATCTTCCCTCCATACTATTTTGATCATTTGCTCCGCTAATCAATCAGATCGATGGATTCCAGAGATTTTTCTCAAAATGATGACTCCGTAACAGTCAGTGGGAACCACTTAACAGCCAATCAGAATGAGAATATGTTTCACATGTGACTTATTCAAATTGTGAGTGATTGAGTGACAGATGAAGGTTGTTTAGGAGACAATTTCGGAGAAGAAAAAGTTTGAGAGTGGCGCTCGGAAAAGGAAACCTAACTGATGTCAATTGAGCATGACATTCTTCGTGAGATGGATTTTAAGAACATCAAAAAGAATTTTTCGGAAGCACTGCTAAAGAGGTAAGGCAATATTCATTGATTCCCAGTGATTGTGTGTGTGTGTGTGTGCAGAGCCTGCCGAGGCTATAAATGACTTTAATTTGTTGTTTAAATAGGGGGCCTACAAAACCTATCAGCCCCAGGGCCTGATGGCAGGTTAAGGCGGGCTTGTTCACACCGCAGCGGAGCCACCTCTATGCTGCGGAATCCAGTTTGTTTCAAGCACCAAAAAATTGTCGGTCTAGAACATAGACTGTATATATAAATGGACGTAGTGTCCGTGACGTCACCCATAGGATTCTGCAGAGTTGCTGAGAAGCCTAAAGTAGGCGGTGTCTGGCACTAACGGCTCGACAGTGACGTCAGAGTCTAACTCCCACCTGCTCCAACCTGATCCAAATAAGGGCAAAGAGGCGGGACCTGCTGCCACCGAGCTGGAAGTTCCAGAGCTAGCTGAGGCTACCTAGCTAAGCTAACATGCTCAGCAGCATCTGTGATGCTAGCCGGCTAACCTACATTTGTTGCTCCCAGTCTGCACGTTTTACGTTGCTTAAGGTAAGTAGGTAAGTTAACATGAAACTATTCAGCAAAACTATCAATAATAATCTAAGGTATTGAGTTTTGGGGATAATACTTGCATACAAATCTTAAAATGCCTACTAGCAGAGACAGAAAGCTAGAAGCAGCAGTCACTGCAGAGACCTGTCACTCAAGGTGACCACGCCCTAATTTATGCAAACACTTTAAGACCTAATATAACTAAAAAGGTTGCGTTATAAAACAATTCACATTGTAGTCATGAAGGGGGAATCTATCTATACAGAGAATTATTATTTTTTTTTTAACCACGATGTAAACATGTTTATTTCTGCTGTACAGTTGGTAATTTTAATATGGGGGTCTAAGGAAATTGCTCTCTTCTGCAGACTGCTCCTACTGGCCACAAGATTAACTGCAGTTTGAGGCACTTCCTTATGGGCTCCCGGCTCTGCCCCAGAGTTTGCCGCTTTGTCTAGAAGCAAGAACCGCATACGTCACGATTACGTCAGAGGGGGGCGAGATTAACCTGAGCTAACAGTTATGGTACGCCCACACAGCCGCGTTAAAAAAAAAAAATCTTGGAGGTGGGCGTATCTGAAGCTTGGGGATTTTTTGCGACCATCAACCAATCACATGAATCTCCCGCTCCCGACAAACAAAGCAATAGCAATGTTAAAACGAAGTAAACTAGATATAAAATCCCCAAACAGGCGAAAACCTACCAGTTTCACCCACTGTCTCTGCCACCTCCCTCCATGCCTGGTTCCTCCGGTTTGTATCCCGGTAAGTTATTAGCGACTGGTCATAAAGAACTGGGTGATTTGCTACCGCAATAACTAATTTCTCCTCCATTTTCAGGAATATAGAAAATGAACTGCGGTCTGGCTCTCCCAGCTTGCACGCGGTTTGATTGGCTAGCGCTTGTACTGTCAGATTTGCATAAACGGGATTTGATTGGCTGACGCTTCCACCTCAGCTTCAAAAGTTGAACATTGCTCAACTTTTGAATCCTGAAAATCTTCGCATTGCTTCCCCACAATGCAGTTCGGCGAAAAGCGAGGCAAAGTGACGTCACCCCATTCAAAGTCAATGGGCAGAAGCGTTGGAAGATTTTTTTAACGCTGCTGTGTGGACAGGCCGTGACGGTAAGTCCACACAGCAGCGGAGGTGGGCGTGTTTGAAAGCTTGGGGATTTTTTGCAAGCAACGCGACCAACAACCAATCACATTAATCTCCCGCTCCCGACATACAAAGCAATAGCAATGTTAAGACGAAGTAAACTGGATATAAAATCCCCAAACAGGTGAAAACCTACCAGTTTCACCCACTGTCTCTGCCACCTCCCTCCATGCCTGGCTCCTCCGATTTGTATCCCGGTAGGTGAACAGGGACTGATCATAAAGCACCGGGTGATTCCCTACCGCTCCGATTATTTTCTCCTCCATTTTTTGACATATGGGAAATGAACTGCGGTCTGGCTCTCCCAGCATACACGCGGTTTGATTGGCTAGCGCTTGTACTGGCAGATTTGCATACTCGGGATATGATTGGCTGACGCCTCCGTCGAAGCGTCAAAAGTAGAACATTGCTCTACTTTTGCAGCGAGCACCGCGAGAAAAGCTACGCTTTGCTCCCACAATGCAGTTTGGCGAGGCGTGACGTCACCCCATTCAAAGTGAATGGGCAGAAGCGGCGACGCACGCCGCCGTGTGTAGGGGCCGTAAGGACCCGGTGGAATCTAGGGGTTAGTTCACACGGCAGCGGCCGCTGTAAAGTATTCACTGTCTGACTGTCACACAAGCAGCTCATACATATCCCCAATTCCCCAAGTGAATGTGTGTCAGTCTGAATTG